GGTTTTTAGTGTTAGGCTGGGAGCTTACTTTACCTGGAGCTTACTTTACCTAAATTGAAGAGACATTTACGCAACCCCCGGGGGTTACCGCAGAACTGCCACATACGCGCTAGATGCGAATCAGAGGTAACTCGAGCGATGTAACTAGCCGCATGCAGCCGGCCTCACTTTTTTCACGCCGGGCCAGGCGCTATCCATGCTGTTCCGGAAGCTTCTCTCAATTCTGTTCAACAACCAGTATTTTAGCAGTAATCTGATGCTGAACCGAGTGTTATGAGTTGAACATACCGTAAATTGAGCCTACTACTGTACTACAATGCCTGTCACTGCAAAATGGTCAGATTATATGCATCATGATGGATATGACAGTGATGACATTGAAAAGAATGAGATATAGTATAAAGAGCTGAATGATATAGTGAAACTACCTACAGTAGGCACTGCAAATGTCCGCTGATATCAACAGTCTGACTGGGCCGGACATGTCCATTGGGGTCTCTGGAGCTTGCATCCTACTCTGCGACTGAAAGAAAGGGTATTCACTAGGGGGCCAGTGGCAGTAGGGGCCGTCGGCCGGTAGAGGCCACTGCGAGGCACCCGGGCCAGCTTCAAGCAATACCAGCCTAGGCTGTAGCAGCCCGGCCTGGCGTGAAATGGAGTTGGCATCCCTGATACCTACTACCTAGAAACCGGGAGCTGTCGGCATTTTCAGGTACCTTGAATTTCGTTAGAGGAGGGTTGTTTCATACCGGCCTAATTAGTTCGGGCTTGGCCGGAGGAATTTTGGACCGTACGTGACGTATCGCGCTTTCCAGTCAGTGCCTGACACTATACATACCGGATGCCATGATGCGCGGTTAGGGCTGCACACCCTGTTCAAGCACGTCAGTGACTGCCAGTACTATTTGGAGGAAGTTAACTTGCGATTCCAAAGGTCGGATGGGTTATGCACTTTACCCGCCATCAGGGAAGAATCATTTGGAGAAAGGGCGGCTCTTGTCGGAGGATCTGCATGCATGACTCAACACCGTACTTATTTGACTACAATGCCTAGTCAATGATGGGGCCACTCACCGGCCGTTCAACGGTTAGCGACGCTCGACTCTCGAGTGAGGTTCACATTGAATATGCATGTAGGCGGCACATAAATGTCCCCGTCGTATGGTAGCAGTTGACCTACAGTTCCGGCCTTGAAGGGGTTAAGTGAGTCGGGATATTGTTCAATCTGGAGTCTGGACCGAAGTCAATAAGAACAGTACGGTTAGCAACAATTTTATATCATGCATGCCAGGATCACGAGGCTGAGGCCCGGGGGAAGAAGTGGTGACCACGGCCCAAAGGTCCGGCCGCGGTTGATCCCGTTTCGTATCTAGTATACCATTGAAATTATAAGGGCCAAGAACCGTCGGAGCGCTCTTGTGAGATCACAAATGCTTTTGTACCCTGTTTGTACCTTGCATGACTGTTTATGTGTACAAGGATTATTTTGCAACTGCCACTGCTCAAACGAATTTAAAACGGCGCGCAATTTCACATTTCCCCAGAAGCGAACTTTCTGGTGTATTGCCGCCTTGACTCAACCGCGTGCTCGAATGCTCGCTCAAACGCGCTATTCGGGTCGTCATCGATCCCCTCGTTGAGCTGAACATCCGAAAACCTCGAATCATCGCCAGTGAACCCTTGATTCCTCCCATCGAACGCCCCAACCCGCCGCGCCCCATCGCTAGCCCGGAACCCGTTTTTGGAAGTCCTTTTGGCGCTGGTCGCCCCTAACCTATCGTCGAACCTCCTACCCTCTGCTAGCTTTCCGAGTCGCCCAATTTTTCGGGTTTGCATTGATTGCGACGGCCCGACATCCGCGTTCACGAACCAGTCGTCCTCATCGTCCTCGGGCCGATTCAAATCTCTGCGAACGCCAGGGCCCCCCCTGTCCGCGCCCCTGAAATTAGCCCCCCCTTGCGTTGGGAATCCGGAACCCCGTCCTGAAGTGCTGGGCGCTGATGCCTCCGCGTCAGGCTCAACCCAGACAGACCGATGAGCGTCTCCAGTTGCTAACCTCCTCGGGTTAGGCATAACCCGGGGGTACCGCTCCAACGCCACTGCCTGCCGAACGCCGGGCGAGATCCCGCTCCTCAGCTCCCTTTGGCGCCCGTTCACGCCGAAAGCTGCGTCACTCTCCCCACGCACGCGCCTATTCACACCGTAAGCTGCGTCACTCTCCCCAACCACGCGCCTATTGACACCATAAGCTGCGTCACTCTCCCCAACCACGCGCCTATTCACACCATAAGCTGCATCACTCCCCTCACGCACGCGCCGGTTCAAACCGTTCCTCCCGGGCCCCCCTGGTTGCCCAACGGCAGCTAACGGATACCCGCGTAACCGCGCGCGTTCCTCCCCGACCGACTCCTGCGCGTCGTGGCGCAAAAGCTCGCGCACAGCCGCGACGATCCCTGCGCCCTCGGTGTGAATATCCAACGTCGGGTCGTCGATCTTCCGCTGGAGCAGCCGGTCTAGTTCTCCGCGCAGCTGCCCAACTAGGGACGCGGTTTTCGGGGTCGCGTTGAAGTTAAGGTAACCGTTCAGCATTGAGAAACCCTCTTTCTCTGGAACGAGGTGCCCCCCAAACATAAGAAGCGCGTAGTCGGTGACAGCGGTGGAGTCTCTGACGAGAATGTTGGTGGCACCCGTGCGGAGCTTCTCGTTGTAGATCAACCAGCCTTCCGGAAATGAGTTGACCCCGTGATTAACGGACGCCGGGTGAACCGCCACCTGGGATGATCGGGATAGAAGACGGGTTAGAAGAAGGTTAAAAGCAGGTTTGAGTTAAGCAAAATCCAGAATAGTTCGGACCCACAAATCCTCCCAGGAAGTTGACCTTGTGGGTAAGGGACGCCGGGTGAACGGCTACCTGACAAAATTCGGGTTAGGAGAGGTGTAAAAAACTTCTGAAACGCCACGGTCCTGACAGGGAGTTGGCCCCGTGACAATCGAACGCGGGATGAACGGTCACTTGGCAGACAGAGATCAAGACTTCATCTGAAGGAGGGTTGAAGCTACTGAACGATAGCTGCTATGCGTTGTAAGACATAAATGCGAGAGGGAAGTTGCAGTTTGCCCTTTTCCTTCCGAAACCTTTCCTTCAGCAACGGGAGCGTTTTAACAATAGGACAATCCTCGCGTCGTACACCCGAGCAGTCTAAGTGCATCCTCCAAGAAAAGCGCCAAACCGATACAACCTCGAAGCTCCACCACACTTTCAGATCCAGTGGACAGAAAGCCCTCCAGCTTCAAATTAATGCAACCGAAGCATTCTCAGTGAGGAGCGGTCGAATACGCAATTAAAATCCAGCAAGCTTCTCCAATAGATGAGCTTAGCCACTCAATTTGATTTCGTTGCAGTCCTTTCAGACGACTCCCCCTCACAGCCATAGTCATTGCAGCATATTGCTCAGCTCCTCAATACGCTCTTCAACAACGGGGACAAAATTAACGCGTCACGTTTGGAAACGGTTCTCACCCGCCCGTCTTCTTTAGTATGCAGCGTGACCCGTTTCCCCTTCGGCCGGCAAACCACAACGGACGGAAACAGCCCCGCACACAGAACCGCCCGGACAACTTCCATGTCATTTCCATACTCGTTGTAGTCCATGATCGTCGAGCCCTTCTCGACGAAGCCGATGCCCTCTAGCAAATCTAGGAACTGCATGCGCATGTTGTGGATCATCTGCAAGAAAGAGAGTTGGGTAACTGAGTACATGCGTATTTGATGCTTGTGATCTGCAAAATAGCGAAGCAATCTGATCGGGTCTGGGGTGCTGTAGTCCTTCATTGGATTTGCCCTCTAGCAAATCTAGGTTCCCATCCGCATATTGTGGATCATCTGCAAAAGCGAGCGATGGGTATTTGAGTCTTTTAAAGTTTGTGGATCATCTGAAAAGCAGGGACAAGGAAGCAAAGCATTCTGACTGGGTCTGGGGTTTTGTAATCCTTGATTGAATATGGTGCGCTTTCTTACCATGCAACCGCGCTTCTTCTAACGAGCACGAAGAAAGACCAAAGAAAAGCGCTATCCTAACATCCTTCTCTGATTGTGACAGCGTTGTCAGGACTCGAAACAAACAGCTCACTCGACAAGACTTCTTAACCAGTCTGACTTTGTTTTCTAGAGTTTGGTAAGCTCGGAACGACCGCCGCCGCTTACGTGGAGCGTGGAAGTCGACAGGAAATTCTCCCAGCACCAGTCGCGCTCGCGCTTCTCCCGGTACGCCGCCCGCCAGCCGTCATATGCGCGGAGCAGCGCAATGTGGTCGCTACGGTCCCGCCCGGCAAAGCTTTGCTTCACTGCAAACAAGAAGGAGATGCAGGGTGAGATACTCCCAAATCTCGGAATGCTTTTTTCTTCCATTTTGGCGACATGGTCGCTCTCGGCAAGGCTCTGCTTTGCTGCGGACGCTTTTGCTGATTCGTGAAAGCGAGTAACATGCGGAAAGAATCTGATCCGAGTCCTTTCGAGTCCGTTCTCCCTTCCACTATCTTGTCCTACTATTGAACAACTTTCGAGGGGGAAAAGGAGATACATACGTGGGCAATCCTGCCAAAGACTGCTTCCAACCGATGTGCGGAAGTAATACAGCGCCAAGTCTTCCAGATTTCCAAGAATTAGCCCAAGCTACTTTTTTGGTTCTCACCTTTATTTCAAGCAAACATCGAGGAAAAGTACCCTAACGTACGTGAAACCGTGTAAATCGGCTTACTACAACCACAAGAAGGGACAAAAACTCGCAACTTGCTCACCTCTGTCTGCTTCGTCCCGTCGGTCCATCGGCAAAACGAAGGGATCCCTGTGCGCCAGCCCCGCTGCGATCGTTAGCGCGGGTCCCAGGCAGTTGAAAATTGCGCCCATCAGAAGCATTTTCCCGACCTTGGGCTCCACGGGAAGGGCCGACAAGTGAGAACCTGAAAAGAAGATGAGGTCAGAATACTCATGGAACTCGAGAAAGATTTTAATAAGCCGAGATGACACTAAGGTAAACGCACTGGGACGGTTAGGGTTAGTTTGGTGGTTAGGGTGGGTATGGCTGCGGAGCAGGTATCTTTCTGGGTTAGGGTTTTCAGTGTTGGTCAGAGCTTATTGTTATCTTGGCCTATTTGAGAAATATAGAATACTCCTTCTAGTCAAAAGGTTGATGTCCTTCGGTCGTCCGCTTTGGTTGACAGTCAGCCCTTTATACTCAATATGGATTCGAAGAGCATGGCAAAGTATGACAGAGCGCGGATGAGCTTTTTTCCAGGATTTCAGAACGGGACGTCAAAAATTGCAAAACAAGTCGGGAACGAAGGCAGCACAACACAGGACGGGGCATTCAGTGGCGCCATAGCTGTCATGAGGTTCGCAACGGGCGATCAGAAAACAAAGCAAGTTGTTAGATGGACCAGCAGATAGCACGAGACGGAACGTAGGAGCCAGAATTCAACGTCCGGGGTGTCAGGAATCAAGACATAGACTTGCGCCAACACAAAGAGGGAACGAAAAGAAAAGAGGCAGCTCAATCCTCGTACTGGCGTATGAGGCAATCTCATCAAAGTGAGGTTTGGCTACGCAAGAGGCTCTGCTGACAGGATTCCACTTTCATCATACGGACGAAGCCCGCTCACCGAGTGACGTCAGGTTCTCGTCAGCGTCGAGCGCCCCAATCGTCTCCAGCAGCTCGATCGCGTTCTGCACGGCCTGCGGGTCCGGCGGCTGCAGCGCGTTTTGGAGGAACGGCTTGATCTTGCCCAATCCCAAAGTCTTGATCTGGAGGCACAGCTCTTGGAGGGGGGTGCGCAGCAACTCGGGTAACTGCAGGGAATATGAGTGCGTGGGTTATGAATGTCATTTTAGTGGGCCTAGAAAGCTCTCAATTGAAGCTAGACGTAAAGAGCAGATGTGGAGGAGGGTGCGCAGCAACTCGGGCAACTGCAGGGAATTGGAGTGCGTGGATTATGAAGGGTCATTTTACTGGCAAACCAGACTTTTACGGTTGTGAGCCTAGAAAGCTCTCAATTTAAGCTAGACGTAAAGAGCAGATGTGGAGGGGGGTGCGCAGCAACTCAGGCAACTGCAGGATGGGGACGCCCGGTTTACCAAAGGCCATGTCATGGCGAACCAGAGTTTCGCAGTGTGGGCCTGGAAAAGCTCTTACGTTACGCTAGACGTAACGAGCAAATATGGAGGGGGGTGCGCAGCAAGTCAGGGAACCGCAGATCGAGAAGCGCAAATCCACTTTAAGCGGAACACAGCGGGGGGAAAAGCGATTCAAGCTGAGCAGAAGGAGAGCAGGGTTTGAAGGCGCAGTCGTTGAAGAAGCGACGTGACGTCAGCATGACGTCAGCGTGAGGCGTGAGCTTGCCTGGTTGGCCGACAGGCTGCTCTGAAGCGTCTCCTTTCACAAATATGTCGCTCAAAGTAAGAGCAACGTTATGTGCGCATGACATCGGCGTGAGCTCACCTGGTAGGCAGGCAGGCTGTCGTGGAGCCTTTTGGGGTAGAGGTGGAAAGCTTGGCCTTCCTGCACGCGCCCCGCGCGCCCTTTACGCTGGTGCGCGGACGCACGTGAGATCCACGACGGCAGCAAGCACGCCAGCTGGTTCAGGGCGTCGTAGCTTGTCTCCTTGGCCTGTGGGAATTCGGTGTTCTACAGTCAACCTTAAGGATCCCAGAGGATCTAAAAGAATGTTCTGCTTCCCAAAGTAGGTGCTTTTAAAAGCCACGTGGGCAGCAAGCACGCCAGCTGATTCAGGGCGTCGTAGCTCGTCCCCTTGGCCTATAGCAATCCAATAACACTATTCTTGAACTTTTGTGGTTATTGAGATGCCCCTCTTTCCTCAGACACGAAGCATTTCGGGTCAGCGGCAGCAGGCACGCCGGACGATTCAAAACGTCGTCGGTTTTTGTCTTGGCTCGAGAAGATGCACAGTCCTGAGTTTGTTCTGTTTCGGTCGTGGAAAAGCAACCGGCGCAGGATTGCTCACGACGATGTTGACAATGTCAGTGACAGCGGCAGCAAGTTCATGACCGCTACAAGGCTCCAAGGACCTGGTATTCGAGTGTACTGAGGAGGATTTCAAATCAGCAATGTGAAACCCTTGAAACCCTTGAAAACCGAAGACGACTCAGGAACTACGCAGGACTCATGCACCAGCTTCACTGCTCTGGGGAAGAGAGAGCAGTTTTCCTTCATCGATACGCAGCAGTAATGAGTTGGAGCGGCTCAAGCCTTCCTCTCCTTTTTCACGAGCTGCGACAAGAGAGGCAGCACCGAACGATGACATCAATAAGCCTCACCTTCCCGCAGTCAACGACGTAGACGACGTCATCAATGGTGATGGAGGTTTCGGCAATGTTCGTAGCCAGGACGATCTTGCGCACACCGGGCGGCGGGCGGTTGAATATCTCTTTCTGCATGAGAACACGGCATTACGTCAGCGTGACACGTCATCAAACTGATAGAGGGCACGGCGGATCCTTACTGAGAACGCAAGATACCTGCATAAACGTCGAGGTGGATTGCAAACCTGTTGAGCGGTCTATCTTTGAATCAAATCGGAGATGCAGCAATCAAGTCAGCTCACAAGCAGCTAAACTGCCCATGTTCAGATGTTAGACGCTTGTGTTCCGTTAAGGATAAGGGCTCCCTCAATTGGTCCAACCGAACCACCTGAAACCAGTATGAATTTGTGCAAAAGAGGACCCACCCGTTTCGCTTCATTCAATCAAAATATGCCGTCAAATGCTATCATTGCGATGAACAGCGTCTCCGTAATCAAGACAGAAACAGGGAGCCAAATGCTTACCGTTTGGACAACAGCGTTCCAAGAAAGGCAAGAGTTATTCAAGAACCCCACTAGCAATCGCACACGAGGATTTATAAGCAACGAACCGGTTATCGGACGGAAACCCGCACCTGATTAACCGTTGGCAGGGACGAATGCAGCGGCAGCACCTTAACCCGCTGCGGGTTACCCATAACCGGGTGCCGTTTCAGGGCAGCATCTAAAGTGGAGATCTCATCCCAGCCGGTCAGGAAAACTAGGACGGCGCCGTTTCTTTGGACCTCCGACTCTTGCGTGCATAGATGCGCGAGCAGCGACTCTAGCAAGCGGTAGTTGAGCGGCCCGTCGGGGTCCCAGGCGTCCAACGAGCGGCGGACACGTGGCGAAAGGTGGCGGTATTCGGGGTCGTTTTCGACGTCATTAGCCTGCGGCGAAAGGCCAAGAACTCTAGCATTTGGACCAGCGGTAAGCTTTGACTCTATTCCAGGTGTTGGTTTCGCGCGTGGAGTCTGCGTGAAGATCGACGCAACAATGAAAGAGCTGCTCTTTTGGATTCAGCGAAGCCTAGAGCGCAAGGTACGGAGATGGTAAATGCGTCAAGGGATGAAATGGCAGTAGTTGAGAAGAACAGCACCAACAGAGTAAAAGGCAGTCGACTTCTGAAGTCGATTCTGCGGCGTGGTTAGCCTGCGTGAAGGAGTCTTTCAGCGACACTCTCTCGAATACAAACCTCTAGGTCGTATAGATGAATGGTGTGCAGATGAAGGGTTTCGCTGCCAATGCGTGCTTGTGAAAGAAGCCCGTAAACAAATCAAGTGCTTGGACCAACTCCAATAAAAGGCAACCCAAATGCTGCTCGCGTCTACCCGCCGCAGCCGGGTCCTTAGCAGCGTCGCTCGACCAAATTACTCGGTCCCCTCTTCCCGTGATATCGACCTTTGACTGCTCATCTTTAAGCCTAATTCCCCATCATTAGCAAAGGCGGATCAAATGATCCAATCGGGTCCATAAACACCCGAAGTCCTTCCCTCTTACTCTGCTGGAATTGTATAGCCTTTCAATCCCCGCTCGACCTTTTCCGTCTCTGTTCCTTCCCTGAAACTCTGGATCAGCCAACCACATTCACGTCGAATCGGGCGTTGCCAAAACAGAAGGAAACACCAAGCACTAGAGCGGCGAAAGCACCTACCTCCCAACCCGCTGAGATCGCGTTCTTGGCTGGCCCGCTCGCACCTTTCCTCCGCTCATCCTCTCCGTAGATCACGTGCCCCGTCATCTCCAAAACGTCCTCCAGAAATTGCTGCTTCACGGGGTAGGTAAAGCCCGGGATATGGGCCATCGGCGCCCCCCCGAAATAGTCCGAAAAGAGCTCCGCATTTATCGTCGCAGACATTAGGACGAGTCGCAGATCCGGACGCTTCGGGAGAATGTCGCGCAGAATGACGATGAGAAAGTCCTCGTTCATGCCGCGCTCGTGGATCTCGTCGACGATCACGTGGCTCACGCCGGTCAGCATGGGGTCCGCCACCTGGCAGTTCGAGAGGGCGACACAAAAAATGAGGCCACGGAACTCAAAACTTGCCTTGAAATGACACCAGGATATAGTTTCTGCTTGGCACTCTGCTCGAATCAACTTCGTTCGCAAACGCTCACCAGCACTCGCCGGTGTCGTCGTTGTCGGTTCACCAACGTTCACCAACTGTCTTCTAATATACGTGGCCATAGATCATGAACGAGCAACTTCCAAGCAGGAAAGACGGGCTCAGTGTCAACTTTCAGAGAATGAGATGTCAATGCAAGCCGCCATCTATTGGAGTCGTCACCAAGTCTGCCTGATATACTGTCCCCTTATTCTCGGGGCCCACTCCGCTGGGATTGTGTACTGTTTCAGGCACGCGCTAGGCAAACACTGTGCTTAAGCAGTCCTTTCTCGTTTGGCTAATAACAGGAAGATTCGACTACTGCTTCTAGCTTGGCAAAAGCCCGAGAGGAGGGCCTTAGGCGGTCGCTCCTAGCTTTGGCGAAGAAGCAAGACCGTAGCTTAAGCAGCCGCTTCTAGAGTGTCAAAAGAACTAGAGCGAGGAGAGGAGGGGCGCACCAGCTTCCGCAGCAGGACGCCGGTGGTACAGAACATGAGCCGCGTGTTGGACGTCCGTTTGGACTCCAGCCGGACCTGGTACCCAACCTGCGGACGGCAAACGAAAGCACGTTCGATCACGGACCAAACGCTTCCAGGAGACTGAGGCTTCATTATTCCATCAAGTTGCTCAGGGTAACATGGAGGAACAATGGGGATGAGTGGGTGACCGTTGGAAAGTCCATGAAGATGGCAGGTTATGCGGTGCATTTGAAGTTCCGGGCCAAGCAGTTGGACGTCCAATTGAACTACAACCGGACCTGGTACCCGACCTGCGGACAAGAAGGGCCGTCTGCTCTGAGAACAGAAAGATCCACGTGCCATTGCCAATAATCGGGATCGCAGACCGCTGGATGACACCCCAGAAAATTTCAGATGTAGAGAGTCATCCGCACAGGTTTAGGTCCGAGAAAAGGTCGACAAGATTTGTTTTTGAGAACGTCGCAAGAGCCTCGCTATAGGTTATGCATCGCGTTTGCAAAGATTCCTCATGAAAGGGCACCATCCAAAATCTGCAAACCATAGTCTGTTTGAGAAGCAGATATGCATTTGCCCATTACATGAACCTCTTTGGCACAGTCCGTTGCTCCTCATTTCTGTCAAACAGCGAATCTCAGAAGGACGCCAGGTCGCGCAAGAGCGCTTCTTTTCTGCGCGACTCTGACACAATAGCCGGTCAATCCTATCAAACTGCCTCTCGAGAGTCCGAGTTCGCCTACGGAGAACCAACAATGGAAAACTGGGGTGCGCCCAGGTAAAACGCCTACGAGGGTACTAACTCGCGCAGACCCACGGGAAAGTGGGTTGCTTGGCTTACCGTGTCCCCAATCTCCTCCCCTCGCTCTGCCGCAACTCGCGATGCTACCGAGATGGCGGAGATTCGACGCGGCTGCGTACAGATAATGTTTACATCTGCCCCGCGGCCCGCCTCAATCTCGGACTCGAGCACGAACTGCGGGAGTTGCGTAGTTTTTCCGCAGCCGGTCTCACCGGAAACGACCTGCAAAGGGAAGACGGGTGTCAGCACATAAACATAGCTTTCAAATGAGCCGCTAGGGACAGGCAAGTCTTTGGAGCTGAAAGACCTTTGATTCACTCAACGAGTTACGGCTCGCTTATGTTGCTTAAGGAACAAGCATGTTGCATGACAAAGGAGTACTGCACTTGTGGTGCCTAAGAGTTACATTCTCCACAAAAGCCTTCATTTCGTCTGCCCTTATATCAATGTTTTGTCTGCTTCCTCATCTTCCGAGCTTTCATCTCGTTTCCTTCATTTCGTTTCGCTTCGCCCGGGCACTTGCTCCCGCAACTTTCCTAAGAGGCTCAGGCAGCAATCTCACGATGCTAGTACCAATAGAGGAAAGGAGACCTCAAGACCGGAACACCGTTCCTCGTCCTTCAAGCCGGGATCGCCAGCGGACCGAAACTCACCATGACCTGATTTCTTGCAATTGCGTCCAGCAGCTCCTCCCTTCTCTGGTAAGCCGGCAACCGCGCCCGCAGACTCAGCATAGCCTGGACCTTCTCAGTAGCCTGGAGCAACGTCAATCATATAAGATCAGCCAAAGTATATAAGAGCGAGTTAAACGTAGATAGTCCCGATTCTCGTGTTGAGTATCGGAAAGAGGCAATGACACATGTCGAAGAGATTCGCGGAAGGTTTCACGAAGGGTCTTCCACGGTTTGCTTTCAGAAGTACTTTCGACAGCAACTGAGGACGAAGGGGTAAAATGGCTGTATATGCACCCAAGCTTTGACTTTGCATAGCCTCGAAACAGGGTGTCCCCTGACCGGTGCAGGTTTGGAACCATAGTTGCCAGAAGCTCAAAAAAGAAACGAAGCGGGGTAAAAGTGGTGCTACCATTCGCTTTGCTGGCAGCAACGAACCCTGCTTTTGCTTTCTATCATAGAACTAATGCTCTGGCCAATCGATCTTTCACGAGCCCCGGAGCCTGAAGAGCGAAGCCTTCAAACCCCAAAAAGCCTGACCCGCAAACCGAGGACTACAAAACGATTGGACGCCTCACACTCGAAATCCTAAACCTCAAACCCCGAACCCGAAACCCAAAGTCCAGAACCGGAACCCAGAACCCGAGACCCGGGACCCAGGACCGTGAACCCTGAACCCTGAACCCTCAACCCAACTCAATCCGCACCTGCTGTCGAAGCTGCCGTTCCTGTAGCCTCGCGCTCAACCGCGCCTTTCGCTGCGGATCCCGATCCTTTCTCTTCACAAACGCCGCGTAATCAAACTTTTGGGGGCCGGACGTGGAAGCCTCCGCCTCGCTGTCGCTGATGTCATTCTCCCCGTCGCTGACGTCATCGTCTTCGGTGCCTGAGTCACTCTGAGAGGCAGCGAGCGCCTCCAGGTGCATCTGGACGCGTTGTTGGACGTCATGGGGCAAGTTAACCTGCAGTCAGGTTAAGAGATAACTTTGCAAAGTGAACCCGTCTTGTGCGGAGATGGGGGGTAGAAAAGTGCCTTCGAAGGCTTTCCTTTTGAGGCTGTGAAGGAAGTTGTCAAGCGAAATAAAAGGGGGTCGATGCGGAGAAAAGCCTCGTACAAAAGAAGAGTATCAAATGCAGACGAGGTGATTAAGGGTGTAATCTGAGAGCTGGAGCTGAGTTCACCAACGCGGGACAGTCAATCGGAAATTAAAAGCAGAGGGTACCGCTTGAGTTCAGCGATGCTCTACGTAAACTCTTATGTCCCGACAAAGCCCCGGGACATTTGAATTGTGCAGCTCGACGGCCAACTTTTATTACATGCCTGGATGCTTTGCCTTTGAAAGCAACTCGCAGACGGGACAATTGCCGCAGACTGGGCGTTCGTTCAGATTTAAGAGCGTGCCTTGGTCTAATCAATCTTGTAAGAGAGATAAGCCATCCCCAGCCGCTTGCTCATTGAAGCGCCCATTCCAGGATTGAAGTCTCTCTCCGGAATCCGGAGTAAAATTCTAGACCGAAAAGGCACGGTCACCAATTCGAGATGGTCGCAGCTCGTGAGAGAAATGAAGCCGAGGGACGTACAGAGAGGAAAGCAAACCACGACAGGATTCCATGCGAAGAGCACCAACGCACACAAAACAAACAAACGATCGGACTGGGAGGTGCGCTCGAGAGAACCGTCAAAGCTGTTTGAAAAAAAGCGAGAAAAGACAGGGGGTGTTCGACGGCAAAGCCAGACATGTTCAGTGGAAAGAAAATATCGACTTACGTCCGACTTGCGCTGTCCGTACTTTGGGTCGCAGTCTGCCCTGTAGTTTGGCAGCGGCACTTTGCTGACCACCAGGATCTTCCGCTTCTTGTCGCCGTATGCTTGGCTGCAACAGACGCAATGAGAAACGCGTTTTTCACAACAAAGTGCGTACTTTTCACCACGTTTCAGCTTTTCGTAGAACCAGATCACGTTCAAGACCCGCTTTTGCATTCTCTGCAGTCAAAGTGACCTCGAACACTTACGTTTGAAACGTTTCGGAGAAGCCGCGTTCAGGAACTATGACTCACAAGTAAAGCGCCTTGTTTGTGGATTTGAGCCTCAGGGTCAGCACGTGATTTCCGACGTTAGGAACTTCTTCCGCTGTTCCGTGAGCATGCAAGCAACCTCTTGTCATGACGCTTTGGGCACCTACTTACAAGGAAAGCCCCTTGGCTTCCGGCCAGCTCTTTGAGCTGATCAGCGCGGGTTCCGCTGAAACTGTCTTTGAAGTTGACGGCAAAAGGCAACAATCTGCAATCCTACAACCTGCCTGCCTTTTGTGTCCATCAGAAACATAGGAAGCCACTAGGTTAAGGGGCTAACCCCAGGACTTACAAGTAGAGCCCCTTGCTCTCCGCCAGCTCTTTCAACTGATCAGCCCCAGCTTCATTGAGACCGTCCCGCATGATGATCTCTTGCTCCCCAGCAGTCGACAGCAGCACCCTCAACCGGCGGTCCCACCAGACCGGGTTATAGATGGCTTTCAGTCTCTGCAGATGAAAGTAAGCAATGGTTTCTTGACATTCCTGTAAATGACGATAGCCTCAAAGTCCACTCTTTCTTGAATGGTTGAAAGAGTGGAGGAACGCAGAGACGGCCCTTTCTGTTCGTGTCTATCAAGTGTCCCTTTAGGAAGAGCCCGCAGCTCTTACAACCTACATTTTTCTCTATTTAACCACTGAGACTTCCTCAGAGCTTTCTGCATATCTGACGGACAAAGGATGTGCCATACTAATCTCGGAACCCCATGCTGCACACAGATAGCCCCAGCATTGACATTCACAGAACCAATTCATTGTACTGGGGCACCGGGAGCAATTACGCAACTTTAGATGAAATCCAACTGTACCACCGCCCTCGTATGATTTAAGGGCATCTATTGTTACACAGCACCGCCGATTCATGTTGTGCACAGCTTTGTGGACTCTCAATTTTATACACCGATTCGTAAACAACTCAACTCTGGAATCCTGAGCTGACTAGAATCTTACAAACAGAAAAAGTTGAAGCCCTGAGCTGATCAGAAATTTACGTATACCGTAAATCTGATGCAGAACTACTCATTGTACCAGCTTGATGCTACTTCAGAGGGACCCGATTTTCAGACCTGCTTCAATTGTCCTGCTTCGATTGTGTCAAATTATCGTCAGGCACTTCATAAGCACGTGCCGAAACCAATTCTTATTGAGCCCTGACCTCTGCTTCCGCGATGCCGCTACCCGCCCCCCCACCTCCCCTTTTGCTCGTCCTCCGTTGCCTCCTTTTTGCTGCCTTGCTGATCCCCCCCCCACCACCGCTGACATCAGCACCTTTACCATTGACTGGCAATAGGGGGCCTCCTTTGGGCCTACTGCTTGCCCCACCGTGCAGAACTTGTGTGCTTGGCCCCCCTCCTCCGGAGGACTGCTTTTTCCTTCTCCTAATTGCTGAAATCTTCGGCGGCGTGCTTTTTAGGGTTTGCTTCCGGCCTTCCCGTCCGGCTAGCAAGGGACTTCTAGAGAAACCACGACCTCCGCCAAACCAAGGCTGTAACATCGGTGTCAAGAATGAAGACGAGAGGGCCGCTCCGCTGACATTGGAAGGGAGATGGATGCAGCATTTCTCATATCTCTGCGGAAATCTGCCGAATGCCCTGATGCCGAATGGTGGAAGACATGAGGAGCGGGCAGAGAAGATTGATAGAGACAGCCTGCTCGCTGACAAAGCCGGTGCTGTCGAACTTAAGCACTGGCTTAGCAGCCCGGCCATTGTTGATACAAGCTTTGGTGCGCGAGCGGTGCTCAGAAGAGACCACGACATGCAGAAAAGTGAAAGGGTCAGCAGTAGTCCCTCAGGTGGTTACACCACCCGGCATCATGCAGCGGCTCTTCCGGGCATATTCTGCGGCATCGCCTTCCCTCCTCGCGAGCTCTTGAAGTGCAAATTTTCGAGGTTGGAAGACCTCGCGAATCAGAGCCGCACATGCAGGACAGAGTAACAAAATTAGCACGGGGGGCAGGGCCGGGGGAGAAGGAGAGCTGGGGGCGACACCCCCTGCAAGCTCAGTGGAAGCAATTTACACCGAATCAACGCAGCATTACCAAGCAGTCCCTTCCACCGTTGTCGGAACCGTTTTACCGTCAGTCGCCAGTTTTGCTCCTGTCCCCGATCGTCCTTTTCAACGTGACGGCAACCGCGCACTGTGCCGGCTTTTGAGCTGATCAATGTTTGGTGTCTGTGTGAAAACCAATTGAATCCAGGCCTTGAGGCATGAGAAGTAAAATTACTATTATAATTTATCGACTCAGAGCGCTATTAGTTGCCTTGGTCAGGCCAAGGACCAAGGTCCAGGAACTGTGGCAACTTTTGATTTCAACTTTGCAAGCACCAATTTGCGCTTTGTCCTCCTTTCTTTCGTTCTTTCGTTCTTCCGTCCAATCACTCAACATTACACTTCCAAGCACTCCCAGCGCTGTGCTACCGTAGGAGTTCCAAGATCTATTTAGAAGCCCGCTCTATGCCAATTGGCTGTGTGCCGCAGGTCTATCTTACAGGTCACGAGTCGCTCAATTTTTCTCTTGTCCGAGCAAAGCCAAGCGCCCGCCAGAGGTAGTTTATTGACTGCCATACCTTTCTCTTTCGCCAAGGATGCTGAGTGGATCAAAAGGCATGAAGTACGGGCTCCAGCTGCCAGCAGGCAAAAAGAGGGCAGCTGATGTCAGAACGGCGAAGCCAAAAGCTGTCTCGCTCAAGAAGCCCGCAATTTTTGCAGAGGAGAGCGATGAAGAGGACGTGGAAGCAGAGATTGCGCGGCAGGCCGCCAAGAAGAGGAGCGACAAAGAGGTACTTTTTAAAGCCCTTTCTTCTCGTGCTCTGTTGATGGAGAGCTAGCGGAACGGATTGCAAGCACTGGGGGGGTCAGGAGTGCCTGATCTCCGCACCAAGCATGGTGAATGCTGTTCCTCGGTGGTTTTCAGCCATGCTATTCACAAGTGTCCAAGCTCGCTTCTGCATATATTGAGAAGTCTCCCTTCTAAAACAAGCCTTCGTGGCTTTGTGTGGGTGACCTTAGTTCTCACTTGATCGCACAAAATGTATTCCAAGATTCGAGCCGTCTTGTACTTGTCTGCGATCTTGCAGACTCTCCCAAGTAGATGCAAGGAGAACCACCCCACTTCACAAGCCTGAATCTTGGCAAAACCATTGGGAAACTAGCCTTTAACCCGCCATTGTCCCACTCCCTTTCAGCTGGAGCAGCAGCATGCGGCGGCCTTGAAAGAAGACCCCAACGTGTTCGATTACGATGGGGTATACGACCAAATGAAAGAAGCGCAAGCAAGGCCCACTGAGCAGCAGCAGGCGCAGCGCCAGGTAAGCACTGTCTTTGCACTTTGTCCGATGATACGAAGGGCTGTCGTCAGAAGCAATGGGAAGTTTGGAAGCTTCTCGCCGTCGGAAGCGAGCGACTGGAGAAACGCGTTTGAACATTTTAACGAAGTGGATGAAAGGAGAAAGCGGACCCCCGGCGAGCTTACAAGGACCCCCCTCGGCTATAGCCATTTCAATCAAAGGTTACGAAAGGTTTGTTAGTTATCTTGGCCATCGAAATCACGAATTCGTGTTCATAAGGGCTCGCAAAGGTTGACTGGGACTCCATGTCTTACCTTCCGTCCGTTCTGACAGGAAGGGTGAGTAATGATTGTTGATTGACGGCCCATGCGAAGATTTGTTGAACTTTGTTCAAGGGGGCAGCGTTGCCCTCACAGTTGTCCAATAGCACACAAAACGGGGATTCGAAATGAGTCTTGTTCAGAGGAGAGTGCACTCTCGTTGTAGATTGTCTTTTGACACTGCCCAATGTCTGGACCATGGGACAGTGCTTGAAGGTCTTTGAACCTTGCCAGCCGTGCTTCCATCACATGTCCCGTTTGCTTTTCTTCTCTTGTTTTGGTTTTTTATCTCTACATGATGCAGTCCCTTGCAAATGTGGGTCAGTCCAAAGAGTTTAACGTCCCAGCAGTTGGTGCATGAAAGAAGTTTTAGATGAACTATCACAATCTCTCTCCTCTTCTTCCATTTTTGCAGCCGCAGTACATTAAGGCGTTGCTGAAGAAATTCATCGCTTTTCTGAATACTGCAGCCCCGGTAGATCGGTGCGTTGCTGAAGAAAGCGGAGAAGCTGACTCTTCCCTTTTCCTCGGATCTTGCAGCCTAGGTATATTGAGGCGTTGCTCAAGAAAGCAAAAGAGCGGGAGCGGACGCAAGAGATGGTCATGGAGCGCAAGATCCAAAAGGAGCAGGCGGCCGAGGCGCATCTGTACGGTGACAAGGAGAAGTTCGTGACGGGCGCGTACAAGCGCAAGCTGGCGGAGGACGCCAAGTGGCGCGAGGAGGAGCGCCGGCGGGAGGAAGTAGAGGCTGCGCATGATGTGAGCTTGCGCGTTGATATGTGTTGTTTCTGTTTCCTTTGTTTGCTTCTGACTGTCTCTTAGGGCGCCATGATTGATCAGGTGCTATATTCCAGTTGAGTAGGAATGTTGCTTGAGGCGGCCTGCAAGCCTGCGGGGTTGCACGTCGTTCTTCTTCCCTTTTTATTGTTCTTGTTCTGCGATTCACCGGCATCATTGGCCAGAAAATTCTGTATTCTGGTCAGTGAGCAGCTGGGCGGCCGACAGAATACGGTGTCCGACATTGGCAAGCAGGTTGTGCTCCTTTGGTTGTTTTTCCTTGTCCTTTCTTCTTCGCTCTAGTCTTTAGTCGATTCCTTCTGGATTCCGGGAATAAAGGCGAAGCGCCGGGTGAGGGAAACTAACGGCGGCCAACGGTGTCGACTTTCGGAGGGTCACCTCGTTCCTCTTTTCCTTTTCTCTTTTTAGTCTAGCAGGTTTTTTTTGGCTTCTTTTCTGTGCGCATGATCAGTCAAGATACGTTCCTGGACTCGTGGTGATTGAGTTTACAGGCGTAGAACGAAGATGCAGCCAATATTGTGAGCTCGCGCCATGATTGGCCCAATTTTAATACATTCTTCGTTTGATTTCGCGGTTCTTTGGATTCTTTCATCGAAACGTTTCGGTCCTGCACCGGAGAAACGAGTGTTGGTCGGAAGGTTAGGTGGTCATAACGTCGTGTGTTGTTTGGATTGATCGGCTCTGCTCCCTTACCCTTTCTCCTTTTTCCCAAGAGAACGTGAGAAGGCGGAGAGGAGTAGCGGAAGACCTTCTTTCTTGCTCCATCAAAGTCGTAGATCGGTTTTGAATTTCAGTGGGAAGTTCGACGCTGTGATATGAGCTTGTGTAGTGGTTCCGGTTGTCCTCTCTTCTGCACGTTTGGACTCCTGAAACGAAGTAGATTCTTGCCGCTGGCGAGAAGCATATTTTGCAAGCTTACTACCTAGTTCGTTTACTGGAAGGCGCGAAATCCGAGGGAGCGGATGAATCTCTCCGCTGTGGCCGTGAGGCTTTCCGTGCCACTCCGCGTGTGTTGTGAACTAGAATGGCAAACATCAGCGGTTCTTTCTTTGTGTTTTCCGGGTCCTTGTCTCAGCCGGTATGTACCCTCGACTGTTGTCGCACTCAGAGGTCTCGACGAGGAGGGTGTGCGAAACTGAATGTGCAGGAGGGCTGTTTTCGTGATATCGAACAATGTCCGATCCTGGAGGTCTTTCGGAGCACTCTTGGCATGGAAAGGCTGTTTCGTTGTCCACTTTTCGTCGGTTTGACAGAAGACTCTAAACTAGTGCGAGCATGCTCGTTTTTCGTGAGCATTCTCCTAGGGGTCGCTGCAGACGATGCATATGGTACCTCAAGAGCGAAGCAAAGTAAGCTGGTTGTCCAGCGTATGCTTATTACGAGGGTCTATTTCAGCATGGTACCAGATTGGTCAAGCCTTCTCTTCTCTCTTAAGGTTACGGCTAAGACCGACTTGAGCGACTTTTACCGCAACCTGCTCAACAAGAACGAGGCGTTTGGGGCTGGCGCTCGAAGCATCGCCGTGCCTGCTCGGGAGACGCCCCCGAGCACTGCAGCGGACAATAGAGCGACTGCTCAAGAGAGAGCGACAAACGACGTGAACGACGATACCACGCAAGAGTCCAAGGAAGCGCTTGAAGATCCTATGGGCGCTGCTAGGAAAAGCTCGGAAAGCGAGAGCTTGAAAGAACGGAGTTTAGAAAGAGAAAGGGAGCGAATACGTGAGGTGAGCGACGGAGGGCAGGAGGGTGCGCAACTAGAATCGGGAGAGGAACAGGCTGGAAACGTGGTGTCCCACAAGCAAAAGGGCTCACAAGATGTTCGTACAACACCGGGTGTCAATGAGGAGCGTGGGGCTAGTTCGGAGAGGGCAACGAAGACAGATGCGGTAGCCGAGGCAAAAGCTAGGTACCTAGCAAGGAAGAGACAAAGAACTTGACATTAGTCTGGCAATCCTACAATCGGCGAAGCCATCCAGGTCAGAAGTTGGGTCTAACACTGAACCGTTGAATTATATGATGAGCATGTGAAGTAACATAGACGCATGGATCACGTTTTACTACTTATTTCCTGCTTGCTTTTGGGGCGTTGAACTATCCTTTACCAGTGCTTGCATGTATACCGCGTGCCAGCATCCCTTATCTTGCCTCGTAGGCCCTTTCAACATGGCACGATCTCAGTCTAGATGGTGAACTTGGCCAGCTTTCATTTCTACCATAGTGTGAATTTGATATCTTGGCCGCGTCGATCGGGCCGTTAAGTCATCAGAGCAGAATGTCGATCAATCGACATTCTGCTCTGATGGATTCTGCTCCAATTGGACGATCACTGAACATCCAATTCCGATGTTGCATGACGAGGAGCGTGTCCTGATTCAGTGTGCATGTCGCCCATGTTGAATGATTTTGGGATGCCTCGTATATATGACCGCCGGAAAAAATTGAATATAAAAGTAAAGTTGCGCGCGCAAAACTTGAGCTATAGTATAGATCTGAAAGCATGCATGTTCAATGCAATGTACTACATAAGAAGTAGCTAGAAAATACAGGTATTGAACGGGTATAAAGCTAGCCTCTGAGTCTTAGCTAGGTATCGTCATGCAACCAGGTACAGCTAGCTAGGCTTAGCCACCGTCGGACTACCGTAGGTATAATGAAGCCAGCTGACCGTCTCTCTGCATTTGAATGCAATGCATCTCGATCTCGGACGCTAACGGTAGACCGTAGCTAGTGACCCGTGCACAAGTTTTCAGAGGACTTTCCCTCGGTGAAGTTTACCGGGCCTTTCTGAACACTTAAAATTGGGGGGGCTGCCGCCCCCCCGAGCCCCCTCGCTCCTTCCTCTTGCGGTCTTAGCGTCGTTGCACGAAAATTGGACGATAACTGATAACTGTAAGCTGAGTCCTTTGTGCCGCAGTGCACACTGCGCGGCCATTTTCCTTGGTTCTGCAGCATGTATCCGACTCTCCGCGTACCGAAGTAATAATGCTTTTGACCTTTTGACGTCAGCTGTGATGACCCGGCCCGCGGCTGTGGACCGCGTGTCACATGGTGCACGTGTCTACTCGATGCACCGTGCTACGAATTGCCGCCGGTGCTTCCGCAGTAGGTACCGGTTTTGTCCTAGCCTGCCCTTGGATCCTCCCGAGTCCCGAATGAACCTGTGGTGCACTGTGCTCCATGGTGACGTGACGCCAACCGGTAGGTACCGTGCCGTTCAAATTGACCCCCAGGGCCCAGGGCCCACCTGGCGCACGTGTGTGAGTTTATAGCCTGCCTTCACGACTTGCGAGCGACGACGGTGCCATGTGCCGCCTGGCAAAGAGGCCGCCCGGCGCCGAGTTCAAGGCATTGCGCAATGTGCACACTGCACACCGTCAGCTGAGCGAATACCTATGCCCCAGGCCCCTAGGTATGCGGAATACCGGATTACCGGTACATACTCTCGGTTCTGCGCGTCTCTTGAAGTTGATGGTCTCTTGATCAGCTCCGAGTCTTGATGTCAGCGATCCTCATCATGCACCCTGCATAGACGCGACAGCTTTGGATTCACAAAAGTCTCTTGTCCCTGCAAATCAAATCAATAGTACCTACCTAGGTGTACCGGTACAGAGTCACGGGCTACAGCTGGTGCTCTGAAGACAATCAAGGGTCTTCATTCTCAGGTTGCTCAATCCAAACAAGGCAGTGGGACTACATCCCAGCGCCCTATCCAGCTGAGCTTTTGCATGAAGCTAGATCCACCATCATTTAGGAGGAGTGTGAACCAAAACGCATTCTTTTTGTTCAAAGCTGCAATACTCGAAAGGAGTGGTGAACTACAAGTAGCTGTCTTTGGCAGGGCCATCTTGAGCTGTCTTCCAGCTGAAAAGCTTTGAGAAATTCTATTAAACCACTCCGCTTGGGGCAGCATGGCTCCAAGTGCTGACGTCGAGGCTGGGGCTCCCCACTCGCCCCACAAGGTGGACACGAATCCTACCCCACAGGTCACCTACAAGGATTTTAAGAAGATCATCGACTACAAGAATCCCAAGGACTGCATTTTTGGAAACTACGATTATGGATCAATGTGCATGGTAAGCGCTTGCCCGCTTTCTCTTAAAATCCCCTGAAATATTGTTGGCATTTGAAAGCGGCGATATTTAATCAAGTAAAACATTCAAAGAATCGAGGGCAGATACAAGGACTTTTTAAATCCTTCTTTTCAGCTGGCTTTATGTATGCAATGCTTCAAAGAATGTTGTTTAGACCCCCAATTGTCAAAAGCATGCACCGATTGAGCACTTCTTTCCTGACAATGTGGCTACATTAATATGGCACCTGCAGACTTGGAGAGAAGACTGTGAGCTGATTGTGTAACGAGTCTGGATGATCTCTCACCTGGCCAACCATGGGGTGGAGAGGTAGGAGTTACGCTCCAGAACAAAAACCAGGCAATCTACGAGCACAAATGTTTCTCCGCGGTCGCTCATCATCATGATTGACTTGCATTGAAATCATCTGCTCTCTTTCTCGTTGCCCTGCAGCCCCGGTGGCCGTGGTGCACTGGGCGCTTCCCCAATCTGAAGCCTACCCCCCAGCGCTTCTTCCCTGTGGACGAGCCTCTCCCCTGGATGCTGGCACTCCTCATGGGCTTCCAGCATGCTGTTGCCATGGTCTGTCCCTTGCAACTGGTCTATTCTCTCAGAAAGCTACACGAAGATTTTATGAAGGTTCAGCTGGACCTGCTTGCCAAATAATCCTAATTTTCTATGAAGGATTGCATTCTCAATGTAAGGAAACAATGCAATGCACAGCATCCCAGAGCAGGAACGATCTTCGTTTCAGGAGGCAGTCTTCTTCTTATTCTTCTTGACCCACATTCATTTCCTCTAAAGAAGAAACATAGACTCAATTTAGCTCCTATGAAGACAATATGCACCTAGTGCAGTCTGGTTTGTTGGTGCATTTAGGCATACCCTCCTAATGCATCACCACGTGTTTGACATTTCCTATTGTCCCTGCAAATCATGATAAGCTAGTGTCACCTTTGTTTCCTCATCCAGATTGGTGGCATCATCGTCCCACCCCTGCTGATCTCTGCCACCCAGGATGACCCTGATACCAAATCATGTAAGTGCAACAGCCCTTGGCTGGTCCAACCTAGTCTCAATCTGAACCTAACTTTGATTGCGCAGAAAGGGACTATATTTCCCTGAGAATGTCATCCGTAATACAGCAGGAGTGAGTGAGGAATCTGGAGCTGTTGCTTGGTCTTTATTCAGGCATTGGTGCAGACTTGACCTCAGTAAACAATCGCTCAATTCTTCAGACCTGTCAGGAAGTGGAGTACTGTCTGGTCTAGAAATGGACCTGCACATGTCGATGAATATGTCCAGTCACGATCTGGAGACACCTGGATATGTGCCAAAGATCAGAAACCAACTTTGATGGTCAAACACTGAGACTATTTCTCACAGCCCTTCTCCACAAGACTTTAACCTCTTGATTTGCACACCGTCTGACATGTCGTCCATCATTTGCAGACCTGGTCTCAGCCTCTCTCATTGTCTCGGGCATCTGCTCCGTCATCCAGTGCTTACGCTTCAAGATTCCGTACACCAACCTGTTCTACGGAACAGGAATGATCACAGTAACGGGGAATGGTGAGTTCGAAAGCATGCCTCATGTCCCTCTCTTCTGGTAAAAAGTCATTTCCGCGGATATAGAAGGAAGGATCTAGGATGCCGTTTGGAGTGTTATCGTTGAAAAGAGCCACAAGAACGGTTTCCTAGCATCTGACTTTTCCCAGCTCATTCACCTTGAAACTTCCTTTCACCATGCAGGAGTCCAGCAGCTGCAGGTCATTCTGATCTCCCTGGAGCAGATGACGGTGAGCGACTTGAGGGAAAAGTGCCAGACTGATTAATCCATAAAAGGACTGCACCTGAGCCCTCGACTGCCACCAATGATCACAAGCTGCAAAGACCACAAACCTTTGGTTTCGTGCCATAACTTTGCTCTCACGAAGAATCATGAACTAGACCTGACTTGGAGACCCTGATATCGCATTGCAAGCCCTGCGGATGATAATGAAGGTGGTCAAGCGGAGGCTGTAGCTGGTCAGATCGACTCTGTGCCCCTTAGAGTGCCCTCTAAATCTGACTGCTTTCAGAACTTTTGTGTGCTTGTCCGACACTTCATCTATATATACAGTTCGAGTGCGTGAGTCTGAGCGCCTAGCTTAGCTGTTTGCCTGCCTGCAATTGCAGGCAGACGGTGTTCCTTGGAACGAAGCCTATGGGAAGATGCTCGGCACACTCTTCCTCTGCTCTTTCACCATGGTCCTAATCTCCTTCCTGCCTGAGAAGGCCATCAACCGCATCTTCCCACCATGGTAAGCCGATCCCTGAAAGCTCTCACTCTAATGTTTTCTTCCTCAAAACCTTTGAAGTCAAACAAAAGATGCCTAAAAGCAGCTCTTTGTTCCCCAGGTTGGACGCCGTGCAAAATGTTAGAGACTCCAAGATCGTTTCACAATTGGCAGAATGATCATAGGTTAGAACAGGTGCCAGTGCAATAGTATTCAGGCTTATAGTATCTGGTCAGCGTGTCGAGAGTAAGCGTCCTCCCAGTCCCTACATGCGCCCTTCTAGCATAAAATCTTAGAAGGACGTCGGATAGAAACTCCTTGCAAGCCGGAGTTATTCGTTCCTTTCAGAGACAAGAATAGCCGCTCCGACTCATTTGAAAACTTCCATCCAGAAACCAAAATCTACTTAGTTCCGTTTTGACGTACGATTTGCAGAATTGAAAGCTCGTTTTGCATCTGAAAGATCAATCGGAGCTTGGCTAACCCTTCTCTGAGCAGCCTTTAGCCCCCTCCCGATCGAAGTTCCAAACTCCGACTTCATTTAGAGGACGCCCTTGTTCACTCCTTGCAGGATTGCTGGTGTCACCGTCTTTGTTGGAGGCGTCAGTCTGGTCGGGGTTGGACTTTCGGTGAGTACCTTTCTTAGTAGCCTGGCGCCCTATCTGTCAAAACGCAAGGCAGCCATAATCATTGCGAGAGTCACGTACTGGTGTTTTTCAAAGATCCTGTCAACCGAAATGGGACAGGCCACGCACTTGTAGGTCAAGAGGGAGCAAAATGCTTCAGATTGAAGTCCTCGATTGCATCAGTTTCTGAAGCGCTTGACAGAGGACAGAGCAAAGCATACCAAGCTGCATGACAACTTTTGGGTGCAGAATCTGCAACCGTCTTCGTTTGTATCTATGACAAGTATATGCGGTATGATGTGTTGAGCGTCACATCCAGCTTTCTGGCGTTGCTTTCAGAACTGGGGTGGAGGTACGGGCTGCACCGATGGCAAAACTCTCTGCAAGGGGAACGGCGGCGTTGAGCTCCTCTTTGGAAACGCCAACTACATCGGCCTGGGATTCATTGTGTTTGCGTCCATCATAATCATCGAGCTTTTTGGATCCCCTTTCATGCGCAACGTTCAGGTAATGTCGACACACTACAGAGCTTCGTTGCTCCTCCTCATGTATCATCTATTCTGCGGCTCTGATTTGGATCTTTGAACTTGAAGTACTCATTGAACCAGCACTTTCGATCGATCGATCTGCTTGAAACTTTTATTCGCTGCTGTAAGCGGTACTGATTGTCTTTGAGAAACTGCGAGTGCCTCCCCTAAGAGAGAATCGCTTTCAATCCGAGGAGTAAGCATGTCCATCAAGATTCGGTCCCAAACTCTGCTGATCCATCCTGATCGTCGAAACTTCTGCCTCCAGTAGTAGGAGACCCTTGGAATGAGTGGTGACGCTTCGTGTATTTTTTCTTTGCTCCGAAAGTGCACTAGATTTGAGTGAGTGCTGCAGAGAGGGACATTTGACTGACTGATTTCATTGTCATTCTCTGCAGATCATGGCTGGATTCCTTATCGGTTACCTGGTCGCCGCTCTGGCCAGGCACGACGGACAAAAGTACACAAACAACGCAGCCATCAGCGCGGCGCCAGCTGGCCAGTTCCTCTGGGTAAGAGGGAAACCTTTGGTACAGAAGCGATGATAGGATGAAACGCGCTATCAGCTTCACCTGGCGTGCAAGCAATATACACATCTCCGGACACATTCTAGCACGAGTTAAGAGGAGCATTACCAAAGAGTCAAAGAGGCATATTTGGACCTAAAAATAGGTTGAAATCAGGACAAAATGTTCGTATAGTCCGGGGAGCTGGGAACCCCAGTCTGCAGTCCGTTGTTCAGAAGAAGGAGAGCTGCAGAGGCGCGTAAGTCTTGAACAGTCTGGTCCACATCTGTTGAGGAAAAGCTGACGAAGTTGACTCGTCGGTGCAGCTCAGGACCTTCAAGATCGGCTTCTATCCGGCAGCGGTGCTTCCTCTTATCATCGCTGCCATGGTCGACTCGTCGAACACCGTTGGCGACATCACTGCAAGCGAGGAAGGCAAGCTTCTTCAACTCTCCCTAAACTTTTGAAGAAAGTCTCAAGCTGTTTTAAACTTCTCAATTTCTTCAAAACACCAAGTGTCGGGAGATTCTATCAGAGTCGGAGACGGATGCAGGTCCGAAAGGTGGTCAGGAAAATCGGTTGGCAATCCACTTGCAGTCCTTGTTCAGTGTCTCGTTGAAACCAGGAATCTTTGGCCACTCCGCCACAGGCTAGAAAGTTGGTGCTACGATCACTACCCTTGCGTTTCCTCGTAGCGAAAACTCAGCTCGCGGTGGAGTGCGGCGTCTCCTTCAGAAGCAATCTGAAATCCTGGTAGGCCTTAGTGCCGACTCTCGCAACCAAGGGATTGGTATTGGGGAAGCGAGTCTATATCACCAGGACTCCAGTGTCCGCTTTTCGATGCTCTCAAAAGGAAGAAGAAGCTGGATCTCTCTACGAGGGGCTTACCTGAGCGTCCCTTTCTCGTGCAGCTTCGGGGCTTGCAACTTACGGACCCGAGCACAACGCTCATCTGCAGGGGGGTCTTTTGGCCGACGGTGAGACCCCTGACTTAAATAGAGGTTCTGCCCTGTATAAGTATGAGATTCTTATTCCATGACAGACCTTGACTGTGCTAGCAACGCCTCCTTTCACTTCCTGATTGGTAGTTGTGTGTGACCCAACACAAGCCTTCACTGTGCAGGTATTAACAGCATGTTTGCGGCCTTGGCGACTGTCACTCCCGTCCTTGTGTTTGCTCAGAACAACGGGGTAAGTCAAGGGGACGTGGAGAGCATACATACCTTTCCACGTAATTTCGGTTCCCTCCAGGACTCTTCGAGGATCACGACTACAAGAAAATAGTGCCCGAACGTTTCCATCGACAGGTGTCCAGTAAAGGTCTCAACGTGACCCGCGGGCCCGAAGCACCTAATAAGCGCACGCTCGAGTATCCGCATGAAGTTTGCACGCTAGTGCAGGACCTGATTCCACCCTTTCACTTTCTTCAAAATGAGTATGTTTTGCGTTTGACTCAGCCTGCGGCTCGCTTACGTCAGCTCTTTGGGAGTTGCTCTCCTCAATTGTGAAAGGCATTCGGCGTTTTTATTGCGAATTGAAATCTCCTCATGACCAAACCCGTTCCCCCTGCGATTGACAGTTAACCTAACCCACCTCTTAACCGCAGGTTATCTCCTTCACACTCGTGGCCGCCCGCGTGGCCGGCACCTTCTGCGGCTTCTGGCTGATCGCCCTCGGCATCATTGGCAAGTTCGGAGCTTTCCTAGCCAACGCGCCCAACATCATTCTCGGGGGGCTGCAGACCTTCGTCTTCTCAACAGTCGCCATGGCTGGAATCCGGGTAAGCTCTTTATTCAGCCTTCTGAGGGTTCGCGCCTGGATTCCCGGTCCTATACACGGCACTGGGGTGCGTCCAGTTTTCCAAGGGGTCTCGACGTTGTGGTCTGTGTTTCCTGGTTGCTCTTTGGCGCTTCGGTTGGGAGCAGCTTCCTGCAGTTGAGAAGATTCATGAATCCAGGCACCAGATGAGTAAATCCTGTCGAGGAGAAACAGATTCTCGTTGCCACCAGTTTCCAAAAAAGTTGATCTTTCGAGCGTCGATATGCAAACGAACTTTCATGACGGCGTCAGGCTTTAGAGCCATAGTGAAGCGTGGGCAACGAACGGAGCCATACCCAGGCGCATCGGTGCTTCTCTCCCGTTCGATGATTCTTAAATCTGATTCTTCCCTTTGCGTGAATTCTTGCAGCTTATGATGATGACCAACTTCACACGCCGCATCAGGTGAGCATCACATGACATGCACGAACATTCCTGCTCGCGTTGCATTCTGCAAACGCGGTTCAAATTATGCTCGCTCGAAGCTCTTTGACAGCTAGAGGCGCCTTCTTTTATACTTTTCTGGCCTTCAGGAACGTCCTCTATATAGTCAATATGAGCGCCCTCAACGCTCCACGACATGAATACTCCTGCCATGATTTGCGGTTCTTTTGCGGTGAAAGTCGTCGGCTTTGTGGCAAATTGTTGCGACCCATGTGTCACCGTTTGCCGACTGCGCAACTGAAGGGAAAATCAAGCAAAAGGCCGGCTCATGCTCCTCCATTAATCCACTCGTAACGGAGAAGTGTCCGCAGTTGTTTGATGCTATCGTTAGTCATATAGTGAACGAAGGGTTTGTTTCACTGCGCAGGTTCATCCAAGTGCTGGCGATCGGAGTCGGTGTGGGTGCGACCCTTGTTCCCAACTGGGGGACCAATGACCTGTGGCCCGTCACCCCCAGCATGAGCACCTTCGTCAAGTCGCTCAGGTAATGGCACGTGTCTTCTCGCCCCGCCTTCCTTGCTTGCAACTCAAGGCGGAGAATTGTTTCGAAGTTGCTTCGTGCAGTCGCCTCGTGCTTAGATGCTTCTTGCAGTCGCCAGTGTGCTTGTCACGGTCTGGCTTTCACCAGCTTCAGCAGCTTCTTCAATCTTTGAAAAAGAACGTATTTCCCTCATTGTTCCTTTGTACTGAGTTTCCGCTTCACAACCGGTTTCTTCTTTTTTGTTATCAACATGAGTTGCCCCTCAACACTTCTTCCTTCTCCTTGTCGCATTCTTCGTTGACGTCTTACCTACTAATTCTCAACTTCTCATTGCTCGGGTGCTTGTATGCATGATCCTTCTGCTTCTCAGAACTCTTAAGAAAAAAAATAGTAAGCCAAGATAATAGTAAGCTCCGACTAACACTGAAAACCCTAACCTCAAATGAAACACCCGCTCCGCACCCGTACCCACCCTAATCACCATACTTACCCTACCCGGCACAGTGCGGCTACCTTACTATTATCTGGGCTTACTAATGCTTTTCTTGACTTGCATCTGCTTTTCCCATGGCTCCCGTCCTCGCCAGCACCCGCTTCTTTATTTGTGCGAAAGCGCAGAGTGATAATGCACTTTGCTTCGCTCTTACAGGAACAGCGTGACGATCATCATGGGCACAGGCTTCGCGCTCGCCTTCGTCATCGCGGTTATCTGTGAGTCCGCTGCACTCCATCGCAACCGACTTCCGTCTCGCGTTCTGATTGAAGCTATGCAGCTACTTTTATTAATCAACTTTAAACCCCTCAACCTGTGTAATATTCGAATGGGGAAATTGTTGAGAGCGCCCGACCGTTACCTAAGCCGTAGCTGTTCCAAAAACCTTTGAAATCAAACTGGTTTCATCTGGGGAAGTTTCGTCCACACGCACTCGTGGGATGTCAGCATCTCCAAGCTTGTCAGCGACCTGATTGCATGAAGGCGTTTAGACGTGTTTAGTGGGGAAGACAAAGAGGTTCGCGAGAGCGAGTATTGGTTGCAGACGTCAGCATGACGTTCCTTACCCACTTGTCTCTGCAGGCCACAACATCCTGCCGGAGGAGGAGGACCCCGCGGCGCTCCGCCTGGTAAGTAGCTCGCACTTTTCCGGCGTGCTAGACAGCGGAATCCGCTCTGCAATGTTATCTTACCATCGATCCTTTGGTCCATTCTCAACGAGCTTGTGGTCAGAGCTGCGCAGATCCTCTTTGAGCCGTTCGTAGCCACGCTCTGGATTTGGCGCCACTTCACTTCTTCGAAGGAGCGTACAGAAATAAACGGCCGTTACAGGGCTTGTGCAATACGGAAGCAGGCTTTCTCAAGCTCGACAGACTCCTTCTTCAACATCTGACCGCGCTTCCTTTTGGGCCCTTCCAATTGATGACGTGGCATCAATTGACATCTTCACAAGCAAACAGGTTGCGCGAGCAGCAACGCAAACCGAACGGGGGACTTCAATCCCGCTCTCACCTTTTCTTGCCAAGAAGCAGCATAAGCTGACCTAAGCTGGCTTTCGTCTACAGGCTTATAAGCGGAACGCCATCGCGTATGGCGCGACCAACACCGAGGAGGGCCTCACCGAGGAGGTCTACGCGAAGCAGCTCGCGGAGCTCCGCGAAGAAGAGGCGGTGAGGCCCCGCCGGGAAACCCGCCCCGCTGACGTCACGCCTTCGTCATCTTCTTTGTGTATTTCACTTCAGAAGCTCCGCCAAGGAGTAGTCCGCAAGGCCTTGCCCGCAAAAGTCGGCGAGTGCAGTCATGTCTGTATTTCCTCTTTTTCTCGGTCCGAGAATCTTACTTCAATGTCTCGGCCTGCCGCAAATGTTACTTGAGACCGCTGCCACCGGTTGCGTCGAAATTCTGGGTCACGCAAGCGGAATTCCTTTGACGAAGGTGGTGACGTCAGCAGCTTCACAGCCGTCACAGGCACGACCTCCGCATGTCCTTCTGAAGGACCCACTCCAACCAGAAACATAATTGGACAAGAGCGTGACGACAGCCGGACCCTTGAGAATCTATCACAGCTTCTGACGAACGCTACAGAATTGGTTTAGCAGACGCACTCAGGAGCGTACTACCAGGAGAATGACGCTTCGCAATCAAATCAGGCCGAGCTCCTTCAAGTGTGCTCCTTTTACGAGAGTTCCACTGGCACACGGAAAGGCGGAAAAACCGTGACCCTCCGCAAGCGGAGGGTTCTACTCGATCCCTGCTTCCACCTCTTTCTAATCAACTAAAGGGATCTGTGACCTTTTTCGGCCTTGCAGGAAGTGGCTCGTATGAGCGCCCCTGGCGCGCACGCGATGGCTAAGTAAGCTGACATTGCAATGGCGTCAGCAAGGCGTCCTTCCTTAATGGGACGCTGTAAAGAGTGCACAGGGTGCAGGGTCATGAAGTGCTTATCGCGTTTGCAAACGCATTGGTGTCTGTTCATAACAAAACAGGTATTTATACCGGGTAGCCAAGCTTTTGCTTTAGTTACCTAGTCTGGAGATTGATGTCAGATACGTCATCTGTTTGGTGTAGCTTCATTTCGTTTTAATTGAAGCAGTCTAGAGCCTGTTGGGATTTGACAGCTAGAGGTGGAAGTGGACTATATGTCAAAAGCACTCAAATTTGAAGCTAGGGGTTGGAGAATAGGGGCAATGTCTTCTGGCCATTGGGAGGGGTGTCAATTTAACTACCTTGCATGGTTTTTATGACCGTGATACACGATCACGCATACTAACGCCTGAAGCAGTCCTAAAGTACATAAGATCGTACTACATACAGACGTACCTACAGTAGCATAAGTGTAGGTGAGACGGCATGGACGGTTCGGGAGGGCCGGGTCCGAGAACCCAGGAGCACCATCCAGAAGTTCAAGCCTTGATCTACTGTAGCTGTTTTGATAGAGCAGGTGTACTAGCCACAGAAGTCTGAAACAGGGATAAGTCTATAACGAGTTCGACTGGCAACGTCGAGTCCAGCGTTTCGCTGGTATATTACCAACTTTCTAGGTAGTCCTTGATTTTCAACTACGCATTGAAGTTTGCATCTCTGCTTCATTGTACATCCTTTGAAAAAGCCCTGGATGCCCCACTTCTGTGCGCGTGTATTTTCGACCTTCTCCGACTAGATAAGTCTAGGTACAGTACCTCAGTCAGAATCCGAGTCATGCTGCGGCCGGCCCGCCCGGGTAGTGGCTGCGCGTGAGCATGCCTAGGGATAGTCAGCGAGCGCCTCCAATCATGCATGCACAATACGGTAAACTAGTTGCACACTGCAACATAGCATGTCCGATTTTAGTAGGCTCAATTCATGTTCAACTCATAACACTCGGTTCAGCATCAGATCACTGCTAAAATACTGGTTGTTGAACAGAATTGAGAGAAGCTTCCGGAACAGCATGGATAGCGCCTGGCCCGGCGTGAAAAAAGTTAGGCCGGCTGCATGCGGCTAGTTTCATCGCTCGAGTTACCTTTGATTCGCATCTAGCGCGTATGTAGCAGTTCTGCGGTAACCCCCGGGGGTTATTTGCGTAAGTCAGGATGTTGCTTGGATATATCTGAATGATTCGACCGTACCGGTAGGTAGGTATCCGATCATGGTCATATCCGATCGATGTCATGCCACTGATTGACATCGACGATTTCAAGCTAGGCAAATGCCAGCGGCCGCGGCAAGATCGGATTGAGAGCGAAAGTCTTCAGGCTTCACAGCTCTGGCCCGGGCCGCCCTTCATGCAATGTAGTTCAATTGATCAGGCTTATATGCAGTGCATGTTCGAGTTGAGAGCAATCCATTGCTATAGCTTATAGTAGCTAATCTTTTATAAACAGATTCAATACCGCGAATGCCCAAAGTACAATACGGTCACGCGCGCGGTGCATATCAGCCTGCCGCGGCCCAGCTAGGGCGGGCGGACAACGATTTGAATTCAAGGCTTGATCGATCGAGCCTATTCAAGTCCGGATCAATATTTGGATTGCAGCTAGACTCACCTCAGGCTACTTTTCAATCCTGCCCGCATTCGACTGGGTGACCATGCGCACGGCCGCGCGCGCGTCAAGTGACAGGATATGCTCGAGTTCAATACTTGGCAAGGCCTGTGTACTTGGCGTTAATTGGTCAATCATGCACGATCGACCATTCGCGACGTCCACTATCAATATTCAATGGCTGTGAACTTGAATCCGGGCCAGCTAGGCCCCGGGCAAACTTTTGAGTTCGGACCCGGCCGCCCGCGCAGAATCAGGATCCAACTATACTCCGACTCGAGTGCAGGCATCCATAGTAGCTGGTTATGCCACGACCGGCGGCGAGTCGACGAGCCCACAACATTATACGTAGAGCCGGACGTCCCAAAACGACGTAGCGCGTTTGATATAATATATCAGCATGAGACGAATTAATGGCATCATTAATGCTTCAAGGAGAGCTTTAATGAAGTGGTCGAATTACTGCCCTTTGAAAGATATCCACTCGCAGTATCTCCGACCTTAATCAGATCTTTTCAACCTGAAACGTGTCCAATCAATCGTTGTTACCCTTGCTTCGTCGTCGCTCCCTCTTACCAACCGCCGTTTCCTCCTCTGGCTCCTTCCGTTTCTGCGACCGCCCCCGTCGATTAGACCCTAACCCCTCTCCTTCCTCAACTTTTGCCCCTAACCCCTCGACAACCTCCTCCATTTTCGCCTCCAAGTTTCTCTCAAGTTTCCCCTCCCCATCCCCTTTCGGCGCGCCTGATCCTTTCTTCTCGCCAGTCGACCGCCTCGGCCGTTTCACCGTTACCTGCATATCTTTGAACTTGCTACTGGGCGTCCTGCGACGACGCACCTCCTTGGGGGCAGAATCCGCTGCTGGGCTCCCCCCCCCATTTCTGTCTGCGTCTAACCCCCCGCTTTGCAGTGCTTGTTCAATTCCCTTTGGTGCCCTTTCCAACCCGTCTTTGTCTTCAGTTTCTAGACCCGCTTCCCCAACCAGAATTTCCCCCTCCTCTGATTTGTCCACGTCGCCCGTCGTTTCGGGTTTGGTTATTGCAGCCAGACCCATCTCCGATTCATCTCTTTCTTCCCCTACTTTTTCCGGCGTTTTTCCGTCATCCTCTTCATTCTTCCCGGCGTTTCTTCCATGCCCGCTTCTGCCCTCGTCCGCCTTTCCGCAATCAATCTTCCCCCCTTGCTCTTCCGCCAACTCTTCTCTTTCACCCCCCTCTCCCTCACCTCCCCCCTCCCTCTTATCCTTCGTCTTCTTCGTCTCCTGCTCGCGCCTCCCCTCCTTCTCCCCTTCACCTGCCCCCTTTTTCTCCCCTCCCGCTCCGTCTTGCCCCTCCGCCGCCTCCTCATTTTCGTTCCCCCCCACCTCCTCCTCAGCACCGTTCACCCCCCCCTCCCCCTCAATTCCGTTTCCTCCCCCTTCCTCGTCCACAACTCCTTCGTCGTCTCGGTCCTTCAGCCGCCACAGGAACTCGATGACGTCTTTCTCGTCCCCTGGGAGCGCCGGCACCTCCCCCCGGCACGCGGGACACGCATAACGCGCACGCGCGCGCGCCTCGTCGCTCGTCTCGCAACCTTCGTGGACCTGGCGCCGACAGGCAAACGCTTGTGTTGTGTTGAGACGTCCCAGAATTTTGAGATAAGATGACCGTACCGGTTCCAAAGATCGCCGCAGAGCGGTTACCATAAGGGCAGTCGATCAGCAGTTCTCAAGAGCGATGACAAACGACAACAGCAAGTTTCAAGGATCAACAATAGTTGTGCCGACCAAATCCCTTGATCGTTCAAAGAGTACTCTTTGGCGTCGAGAACAGAACGACCTAGAACGACCCCGTTGTTGAAACGGTCCGCTTTTCCATCTAAGTTGTGAACTTCAGGTGGGCCGTCGCCGAGACCAGCCATAAGGGAAGCAGTACGGGTACATTAAAGGCAACGACTCCCTATTCGAAGCAATTAGCAGTCAGACAACAATTCTGACAAGATGTGTTTCAAAAGCCCTAATTCATTAACGCTGCAATCCCTTCGAGGAACACGATCTTGCCAAATTACCACTTACGGCTCACCACGTCTTTGTCAACCATTATTCACAAAAACCTAGATATTACAACGAAGTAACAATGTCTCCAAACATGGAACGGACCGGACAAACCGTACACTCAGAATTAAACTACAATTGTAGGGCCGAGCTCAGGCCCGGTCACCCTTTGGGCGCTCTCTCAGAATGAGGCTGACATCAGCAACTTGCAGAATCGGACGGCCAGTGCTTCACACTCAAATCTCCATTACTGAGTGGGATGGAAAGTTATTTTGAAGGAGGAAGCCGTACCCTCACGTTCAATAATACTAGCGGCTCTAGCGGGCCTCGAACCCCTCAACTGCGGTCGAAGAAAGAAGACAGACACAAGGGGAAGAAACCCAATTTGCAAAGTAGCTCTTACCTGATGCCCGCAAGTGGCGCACGCGCTCAAGAGGCCCAGCTCGGAGTTACGGTAGACTTTGTAACACACGGGGCAGTACTTGTCTTTGAGCCACAGTCGCCCACATGCGTCGCAAAGCAGGTGACCCAAGTACCACTTCCTGCGAACGAAGGATCGACATTGGGTCAACCTAACTGGGTTTCTGCTGGTTGTAGGTAGGCGCCCCAAAAACTTACCTCTGATCCCGGTGTCAGGCACCAGCGTTTTGCAGGTACAGTCCTCCGTCGCTGAAAGCACAATCTTTCTTGATGCAGACCACCCACTCTTCAGGATCAAGTCGACCAGAACAAGCTTCGTAAGTAGGTGGCCGATTTCAGATAACTAAACGACCAGCACAAGTTCGTGATGAGAAGGCGATAACACCGATTTTTACATTCGAAACGACCAGAACAAAGCTAGTGAAAAGAAGGCCGATCTCCAATCTTTAGAATCAGAAGAAAGATAGCCAGATTCGTGATAAGAGGGTCAGCTACCGTTTCTTAGGATCGAAACAACTAGATCACGATACCTGATAAAGAGGGTCAAGCTCACCTGCTAGTTCCGAAGCGGGCCAGTCACTTACCGCAGCTGCATTTGATGGAAATCATTTGATGGAAATCACCAACTCATTTGATGCACACACTTCCCAATTTCAGTTTTCACCAGATGGGGTTTTCAAAGTTCAAGTCACAACAGAAAGATGTCTCGTAATAGGAACGATTCCACAAAAAGCTCACCCGCTGATTCCGGTGCCAGGCACTCGCGTCCCGCAGCTACGGCACTCGACGTGATCCGCGCACAGAAACGGCCCGACGACTTTCCGCAGGAGCCCCGCGCAGCGCTGATGGTACATGATGTCACACCGCTTGCAGACAATCAGGCGGTCGAGCTCCTCGTGCGTGCCGGGGAGCCCACAGCCGGTACAAAGCCTGGTTGAAACATGGGAATTTATTGGTTACTCATATTCTGGCCACAGCGAGCGCACAGCATAGTTGGGGACAGGGGAGGGGAGGTGTCAGTTGACTCAGGTTACAGAATGACCAAGATCATTAACTGGGTGCTCTAGCTTGCTTGGTGGGCACCTACCCGTGGCAGAAAGCCTGGGGGGGAGAAAGAAAAGGTTTGGGTTAGCACCCTGGGTTTGGGCGCACCAGCCGGTCAGCCAAGCAAGTCCAAATGGGGCAAAGCTTTTTGAAAGTCAAGAGTGTCTCTCCTCAAGAGCTGATCTAAATTGTGCAGCTTGGCTGTTTCAGGTTAGCGGTCACCAGCTGTGCCACTTGAGGGAACTGGATGTTGACTAACTGCCAAACCCAATATAAACCCCACGAAGGGGAATCCATGATGACCTCAAGTTTGAGTGTGCTGCCCCGCCAATAACAACCTCCCATATCAGCCAACATGAAGATAATCAGATCTTGGATCCTGAAACTGCCTTATTGCTGGCGGAAGGAGGCAGGGATTGCTGGTCTTTTGCTGGAACCGAATACTGGTGGCTCTGGCAATTAAAGATTTGACGACCCGATGCATTCGCTCGTGGTGCCTTGAGGCACCCGCAGTGCCATTGTTTCACTTCTTACAAACATGGGGATTCACCACCTGCCTTGAGTCGACCACCTTTCTTGCCGGCTCCAAAAGTTAAGAGCTCCGTTCGCAGCTGTGTTCATAACCTTGTTCACGAAACAAATCAGTATTAACCCACCTGCAATAGGGGCAGACAAAGTCCGCCCACTCAAAGTGGTCCCGATACTTTGCCCACTGGGCCTTGATGCACTCCACATGAAAGTCTTTGCTGCATTTACTGCACACAATCATTGCAACCTCCTCTTCCCCCTCGCCCAAACACCAGCCGCACTTCCCCCCGCTTTGCTTGACCAACCCTGCATCAGGCTCCCCAATCTCCCCTCCTTTCTCGCTCTTCAGCGGCCTGCGGCCCTCCGTTGCCTCGGCCGGAATCCTCTCGTTCCTAGTTGCTGCCACTCGCTCCTGTTCCCGTCTCCTCGCAAACGCGGCAGGGGGAGGCAAAGCCGGCCCCTGTTCTGCAGGAGGATCCTTCCTCGCCCCCCCTTTGTGCTTCCGGCTCTCGTCAAAGTAGTCCAGCGGGCGAAGGCGGGCTCCCCCGTGAGTCCCCAGAATTGGCACCAGAATTTCAATGGAGGTGGACTCTCGCACGAAGTCCTGGGGACGAGCAAACATGGCTTGCACCTCGGCAGGTGAGAACGGGGCGCCACTGCCGGCAAGGCAACGGCAGATTGCCTGCAGAGTGAAGGGGCAGGCTACGTGGAAAGCCATGGCGGCCGCCTATTTTCCGCTAGGCCCAGCTAGATCCTTCTTCTACAGCGCCTGAATGGCGCCTGGAAGCAAAGAGCCTCAAGTACCGGTACTCAGGTACTGTAACGGCCTTTTCACAAGAGGACAGTTTGACGACAGTTTATAAACCGGGGCGTTTCAGAGCCCCAGTTCTGCGACAATCCGGTGCCACGTAGGATTTTGGAAGATTTTGCGAACTGTCGCCAAATTGACGTCAAACTGTCGCTAGGGGCAAAAAACTGTCCGGGCTGAAAAGGCCGGAGAGTTTGACGTCGTCCGTATTTGAAGGAAGGTGTTGGTTCGACGCCGTCCGATCTCCAACAAAATCAGTAATTTGTTAGCATCGACGGCTTCTGGAGCGCCGTCGGTAAGTACTGGATCATTGGTACGGTGCAGTACACATCCTGTACCAGATTCTGGGAAACTGGGGTAAAATCGGGGCAACCCGCTTTCAGAGGGCGACAGTTCCGATACTGGAAATATAGTTCACGTGGCTGCTGACAAAGCAGCAGCAACGAATCCTGTGGTGCCAACTGGTCTGGGTCAAACTGTCGTCAAACTGGGGTCAAACTGTCGCAAAGTTTGCGGCAAACATCAAACTGTCCTCTTGTACACATTAATTTCTGTTGGCAGCGATGCCTTCTTTTCGTGTTTTAGGGTTCTTTTGGTCAAGCGATTAATTCCTAGCTAGAGCCTGGCGCGCAGGGTTTACGGCAGGGTTTGCAGCTAGCAGGGTTTATCCGGAGGGTTTGCCAGTTCAAACTTTCAAATCTCCCGCCAAATTTTGGCCAAGCTCAGCTTAATTCAGGTTTTAGGGTTGAACTTTCATAGACGAAACAGGAGCCTTGAGCAGCTGTGCAGCCCTCCCGCTATCTGCATTCCCTCTGCATTGCTGATCAGCCTCGATTAAAGGCAGAGCGGTTTAGAAAACACTGTTTGAGCAGCTCGGGCCAGTCGGGCAGCTTATGCAACAGATCCACGATCACGCTAGTGTGCAAAGAAACGAGGTCTGCTTAGCTGCCCTGATCATCTTTGATTGACTCTCCTAATTCCCCCGCTAGTCTAGTGCAGCGTTTGTCAGACGTTCAGCAACCGGCTGCTTCTGAGCGTGGTCTTTCTAGGACGCCAGAGTTGGCCTCCCTTCCAACATTTCACGTTGGCTTCGGGTGTCTTCTAAAGTTCAGGATGTATCCTGGCCCCGGGCAGACTGCTGCAAAAGCCATGGGGTTCAATCATATGTCAAGCACCTTTGAGGCTCAGATGATGGCGGGGCACTTGAGGCCTTCGCAATTCAATCTTAATCTAGAGGATCTGTGGCGGAAACTGCAGGTGCGGCATGTTTTAGTCATCAAGAAACCATGTTTCTGGCTGCTTCAATAGGTGGCCGTCTGCCAATGGTGTAGAAAGAGTTCCCAGCTAAAACAGGCCTACTCTCATGATGCTTAGTAGGGCTCATCAAGCAGACACATACCTTGGAGTCTTGCCCCCGCCCCATCGTATCGCCTTGTAGTCTCCAGAATTCAAGAATATCAAACTTGGACATTCTGCGGGATTTGAAACTTTGCTTCAACCTTCTCTGGCTTGGCTGTCGCAGCTCTTATGTCTTGGACAGACCTTCTACTTTGATATCACCCACCGTTAAGGTCAAGACCTGTTCGGCTCAGTCGTCTACCTTTTGAGACGGTCCTGCTGGACTTTTTCTTACAATAGCGCACTCACCTCTGTCTGCTAACTGGATACTTTCATCTTTCCTGCAGCGCTTAAAGGCCCAGTACTTGGACCTACTTGATGAAGTCAGGCGGCAGATCGCCAACAGAGCTGCAAGTGGAAACCAAGGCGAGCAGGAGCGTGATAGGAACCTGAAGATGCTCAGGGGTGCTGACAGAGCTGTGGCTATGCTGCTGGCTCGAGACCCGGGCCATGCGAGGTCTATCTTTCAGAACTTTGGGAAAAGTGTGGAGGGGTTTGAGCAGGAGGTCTGCTCGCTGATGTCATACTGGCTGAAGGCCGCGCCTCAGGCGATGGTGAGTATTCTCTGGAGAGGTGTACACGACTGGCAAAATAAGGAGACTTCTCTTTGAGTTGCTGCTCTGCGAAGACTGTCGATAATTGCACTAGAGGCAACACTGTTCCCGCAACTGATCAGCCACTTGATTGCTGAACCTCTGAATTCTGCTGTCCAGAGGAAGCCTAAATGCTCAAAGAAACTTACGCCAACATTGTGCAAAAGCTCCCCAGAGCCCAGGTGCATAATGACTGTGTCCCACATGGGACTGCATTCAGAAGGTGGAGTAAGCCAACTCCCTGCTGAACGATCAGACCATGGCTATGCAGGGGCCAAGCAACCGAGTGCGAGCCATGCCACCTGGAGCTTTGGCACCGCACCTGGAAGCGGAACGGTTGTGGCACCATCTGCAGGTAGGTTCAAAAGCTGAGGATCTGGAATTCGAACGCACTTGCCAAGGGCCTAGTTTGTGTATTGATACTTGCGGACGTTCAGCAGAGAATATACGCATTAAAGCACTCCTCTGAGACACGTTTGGTAAAGGTACCAAGCAACTGCTTTTACGGGTCTGTCGAGAGGGTGAACACATGCTCCATCATCTCTGGATGGAAACACTTTCCTCCATATCACCCGCTCTTCCCTTTCAGTGAGATTTGCGCAAGGAAAGGCTCAGGAGAAGAGCACTTGGCTATTCGAAGCATTTAGGACAATCCGCACCAAGGTCGAAACGCCTGGGTGCAAACCATTTTCGAAGGTTGTGGTAACACTGTCTGTTGACTTCGATGTTGACAGCTCAGCCTCCTGTGTCTGTGATCTACCTGTGGTGACTTTATACCTGAGGCAAATATTGCTCCTACTGGTGCTAACAGGATTAAAACCGCGGGTTCAGATCCAGATCTCATGCAATTTCTCAACAGACCGCTTTCATTGAGGGTCGCGACTCGCTTCGACGAGATTGCATAAGAATCAATATGGTCACCAAGAAGTGGCCAGATTGGGGTTCGACAACATTCTCCTTTGAAAGTTTTTTTTTTTTTTCCAAATTAAATTTTTAAGCGGAACCCTGACGACCTCTTCACGAATATAGAAGCCCACGTAAACTCGATGCTTACCTAAGTCTAAACCTGCCTCCCCGCAGCACCTATTGACCAGATACCTGGAGCCCTTAACCAAGGTTAACGGGGAGGTTAAGGCAGCGGCAGCGGCTGCAAGCGAGAGCGATCCGGGTCAAGAAAGGGCTTTGAAGTCCTTCAAGGTGATCACAGAAAGAATGCTGGAGACAATTATGGCGGCGGATCCGGATCAGGCAATGGCGCTGCGGCGCAACTTTCCAAAAGGGCTGGACGTCTTTGAACAGCAGGTGGAAGCGCTGCTGTCGACATGGGAGAAGAGGAAGAGACAAGGCGTCAAGTCACGAACGGTGAGCGGTTTTGAGAGTTACAGCCTGAATTGTGGAGTAGGCATTAGGAAGTGACATTCGACAAGTGCCTTCGGATTTGAGTGAGCGACAAAACGAGGAAGGAAAGCTTTCGAAGTTGGAGGATAGGCCTATGAAAGCGGGTCGGAGTTAAGAGTGATCGTCCTTGCAACGGCTTGTAATGGCGAACCATTCGAACGACAACCGATTAATTTCATAGTGCTTCTTTCTTATTATTGAATTCATGAAACAGCCGTGAATGGCGAAGGTGGCAGCGCTCAAGACGAGACACGACCCTTAGGAGCCGTTATCGCATGCAAGTATTGTCTGACTTCTGCTTGCAGACGGTTGAGGATCTGAGCGTGTGTGCAATCTGCGAAGAGGAGTGGGGACCCGAGCGACGAAGGACAGCTATCATCCCCCGTCAGGAATTCACTTGTGGGCATGCCCTCTATTGTAGTAAATGCTTGGATTCGTTCTTCAGAAGCATGCGTGAGAAGGTGAGGGTAGGCGCCCCAGTCGCTTATCACTGCCCGAGCTACTGTGACTTGGGACCAGAGCTGCCGAGGTTGGTACGGATACACATAGGTGGATAAAAATGAAAATAATCGACTATAAACATTGGTACTTATGGAAGAAGCGAGTTGTTGACTCACTCTCTGGAAGCCAGGGGAAGGTAAGCGTGTATGCCAACAGAAGCTGTGGACGGACTGTTACTCAGCTGCAAACTTACCTAGTAGGCGATTGCAGGGCGCATATCGCTCATTACCACTGTACATTCTGTATATTTAAGCATTACGTGCCAGGTCTCAAGCTGAGGGCTGGAATATACATGTAACCGTGCTGTCCACCTCGATTGAATGTTGTTTCAGCCTTCTTAGATTCATTGTGACTCTCACGGGTTCAGCGAACCAACTTGCAATATCTAACAAGTATACATACCAGATGGTCGATTGAGAGCGAACGTGCATCAAATGGTGAGGCGTTTGGAGTTAACAAACCCTTTCGATCACCCAAAATATCGGAATTGTGTGCAATGTTATGTGATGCCAGAAGTTGTTACCCATCGAGAGATCATTTCATATGATAATGACTCTGAGTCACCAGACCAGTGGGCTCTCTTGCCATGCGCGTGCACATGCAGGCCAACTTGAACCTGATCGGATTCAATTGCGAGTCAGGCCAGTTTGTAGACGTATACGCAAGCTTGGATCAATAGCAATAAGAAACTTCAATCGAATCGCGAGTTGGACGAATAAAGAAGCATAACGACCAACTAATTCCAGCACTCGTTGGATGTACGACGGTACATCAATATTCATTCATCAAAGATATGCTACGTGCGGCGAGCATGAACCGTCAAAGCTTTCCCTTCAGGCTTTCAAGTTTTAAGAATGCAAGCGGGTCGGTATCCCGAGTAGGTACGTGTAGGACTCACCGTACAATTCCTTGAGAAGATCATGGACATGACGACACGCGTGGAAGTCTCCGCCAGGCGCGCGCCGCCCAGGGAGCCCGGGGCTACTATATCGAAGCGCGGCCGCCCCGCTGGCCCGGCCGCGCACTCGGGGTGGCGGCGGCCGCCCGCGCCAACCCCCCATTAGCTCGGCTGCAACAGCTGCTCAATATTGCTGAAAGTTGCAATTGCTGACGAGGCCCAAGTCGCTTAGTGCTCAAGGTGGACAATTGCAGCGGTGCAGCCCTCAGTGCTTTGAAGTGCTTGATCAGCTGAACACAGAAGCGCTTTCAAGTTTTGATCACGTTTAAGCTTAAAGTAGGCTCCATGAGTCGCGGTGGTTCAGGCTTCGAAGCTTCTCGAAACGAAAGTTGTTCTCTTGTTCAGAGACCAGTGATTGCGGAAGCTCTGAAGCAGCTGACTCTTTCCTACGTAACCGTGCTTTTTGGGCGAGCACAACTTTGTGGAGCGACAAGAAGTAGTGTTGCTTAGACTGTCAGCCATGCCGAGTGCGCCTCCCTCTCTTGAGGACCTTGTAATCCTTGTGCGGAGTTTGGACGAGAACGTCGCAGAACGTACTTTGCTGCCTGAAAGCAGTGCGCCAGCAATCAGTGTGCCGGTGGTCGTCGAGGTGAGTACGCTTTTGATGTTTGGAAGGAGAGTTTCTAGATTGCTTCTGTCACGGTATTGAATGGTTTTACAATGGTCTTGCTTCTTGTCGTGAGCTGGGTGGCTATCTGGCACTTCGCGTGAGTGTCTTTTGCTCTGAGGTGCTTAAAAATGACGGTCTTGCCCCACTTTGAAACTCCCCCAGCGCATAACAGCTTGATGCTGGTTTGAGGCCTTGGTTTTCTGAAGTGTTTCTTGCTGCAACATGCCGCAGAACGAGCATAGTTTGGAATTAAAGCAGGCGCCAAACTCCCAGGAAGCCAATCCAGGTAGTTGAAGAATCAACTGGGTCGTGCTGTAACTTGTCTTGAAAGTGGGGTCCCCTGCGACCATCGCAAGCCCCGCTGTGTCAGATCCCCAGAAGTACGCCTCAAAGGCGCTTTGGAGTCCTGATTGGCTGAGGCGGTGTTTGTTCAAAAAGGTGTTGAAAATGCGCGCTTGCTCTCACTGACCAGCCACTGAAGATTCTCGATGAAGCTCGCTGGGCAGTGTTTGTTCAGATTTAGCAAGCGGTGGTTCGGGTTCAAACGTTTGAGTAAGTGGTGGTTTTGTGCAAATTCAGCGCGAGCGGTGGCTCTGTTTCATTCAGCGGGCGGTGGTCTATTTCAGATTCAGCGACGGGTGTCCCTGTTCAGATTTGGCAAACGGTGGTTTTGTGCTCTTTTGAAGCAAGTGGAGGTTGTTTCTACAGGGCCCAAAAGTCGCGGGGGCGGAGAAGGAGAGCGATGCTGACGAGGATGATGACGCGAAGCGGCTGCCTGTCTCGCCGGAATTGGCGGAGAGCCTGCTGGCTGTGATGCAGACGGTGAAAGAAGAAGTAAGGGCCACCCCGCTGCCTACATATATTCACGTGCGAATGAAACCTGCGGTGATCGTCTCCTGCCATCCAGGATTGTAGCCGACGGTTCTTGTGTCGCTTTCCCTGCACTCTCCTTCTGATGCGCTCCCCAAGAATTATACATGGTCGCTTGATGCGCATCTTGCAACCTTCCTCGTTGCTTTGTACTGCGTTCGCTGCTGGTGACTTGCTTCAATCCGTTTGGCTCATCTCGTTTGCCCGTCGGTTCTCAGTGCTGGTTCTCGTGATGGTTTAAATCAAAAGAGGCAGGCCAGATCCCAAAAACGACGTTTTCGAACCGCTCTTTTACTATTTGTGCAGGGAGGAGCGGATCCGGAAGATGCGGAAGAAGCAGAGGAGCTTGCGGGTCGGCTCAGCCACGTGTGCGAGGTGAGTGCTTATCCGAAAGAATGCCCTTTTAAGTATTGAAACGGGAGAGAGGAAAACGCAAAACGGCAGCTCGCAGACACTAGACC